CCCCAAAACCCCAAAACCCCAAAACCCCGCTTCTTGTAAATCTTATTTAAACTGAGTCATTATTAATGAGCTAATATTTACTTTATTTAAATTATATTCATTAGCTTGATCTTCTAGCTTTTATTTGTTTTATAAGCCAGATAAAAAGTATAAAAAAGGTTATCGTGTTAATTCCTAGTAGTATGAAATTTACAATTTTAAAGCCAGTCTTTAAATCTCTCGATCCATCTAAAACTCTTCCAATGGCTAATGGCCCAAAAGCAAGAGCAATGTTCTAGGCTGAATTTATAAATCCAACTGAGAACCCTAAAATTCTCTTAGGTATAATTTCATTCAAAGCAGCCCACACATTAGAGATAAATATTCCCATAGATACCTCATATATTGAGAGAGGCAGAATAATTAGAGAACATTTATAGCAATCTGGCATTAGTCCCATAAATGTTTGACTCACCATATATAAGAAATTAGCTAAGGCAAGTGCACCGATTCGTTCATTTACCCTATCTGATATCAATCCTGTAATGGGGCAAAAGACTGTCATTACCAAAGCAAGGATTCCTTGTATTTAGCCAGCCTCTACTATCTCGAAGCTGAATCTGGATCTTAGAAATTAACTTTGATTTTACTGAAATGGTGCTTAAGTGAAATAGGTAAGAAAATTCACTAAGGCAAACATCCAAAATTTTATTCCTAGTTATTTAAATAAAGTAGATGATATCCAACTGTGAGTCTCTTCAGCTAGTACATGTTGCTCATTTCTTTAAAGTCGATCTATTTCCTCATTTCTTTTAAGATTCTTTTCATTTTTAGAATCTATATTTGAGAACAAAAATGAAAGGGCACTTGCCACTGTACAAATTATAATCCCTCCTGCTAAGCATGCTGGAAGACTCTAAGTAATTACATAAATCTATGGAGTTATGAAATTAGTTAAGCTTATACCACCTTTCGCAACTGTTATTAATACAGCAAAGGCAAAGCCGAGCTCTTTACCCTCAAACCAGATGTTGAGGATTATAATGAAGCACAAGCTTGAAGATTCTGTGCAAGAGCCAAGCAAAAATCTGCCAATTAAAGCGATCTAGTAGTTTTGAATGAAAGTAGCGTAAGTAAAAATGATCTATCCTACAAGATTTCCTATGGTAAATATTATCGTTGATACTCTTATTCCAATCCTGTCAATCAGTAGGCCTATCAGCAGTGAGATCACAATATTGGGGAGATTGTATACTGAGTACAATAGTCCAAATTAAACGTTAGATATGCCGAAATTCTGAACTATTTCTTAATAGATGCTACCTGGATTGTTTGTAATGTAGTAAGAGCACATCTTAAGATAACAAACGAGGGCAAGAATTACATATCTCCATTTTGTTTTCCTCATGTCCTTATGTCTCTCCTGTACTTTCTAGTCTATAGGGAGTAAAGGGACATTGTAAGTTTCGCTATTTTCCATGAAAATAAAAGATTTCTCTGTCATTCTTTGAAATACCCTCCTTTTTAATTAATGAAATTTAAATTAAGATTCAATATAAGGAGAAAGATTTTCTTGATTACCTAATTCAAATATCATAGATTCATTAAGTTTTTTTTAAATCAATACGTATGGGGTTTTGGGGTTTTGGGGTTTTGGGG